TGTAATATATAATATATATATATATATATAATATATATTACACTTTGGCGGATGCGACTCCAAGGCCTGATTTTGGAAAAAGTATATGTAAACAAATTTCTTCTATAAGAAAAAAAAAGAACGTACTTTTATTATTTATAAATTTTTAAGGCCGAAATTACAAAATCAGGCCTTGGAATCGCATCCGCCAAAGTATAACGAATATATTAAAACCAGAATTATTAGAAAATATTGCTTCTTTGCTTTAATATCTTGGAAAAGCTTTGTTGCAGTGAAATCTTGATGATTTGTATGACAATATGGCTGCTTCGCTATCGCGCTTTCCGTTGCGGCGCTATCGCCGTCTTGTTTGCTGTTATTATATCGTTAGTCTATACACGGTGTTCTACATGGTTTAGACTAGGGATGGCCAACTGTTTTTGCCCCCGGGCCGGTTGGAAAAAAATTATTTTCACGGGCCGGACGAAATATTAAAATTGAAAAATGTTAAGCAAAACACTTATTTCTTTAAGTAAACAAAATTTTATTATTAAAGTTGTTTATGAATAATTGTAGTTAAATCGGTTAGTATAAGGTCTTCCGAAATTTGAAAATCTTCGGTGATAGCTCTGATAAAAATTAACAACTAACAATAAGCAGTATCTTTTACATCGCAACTTTCGTTCAGAGCTATTGCATAAAAATTGGCAGATTTTAAATTATTTAATAACTGATTCACGCGACAATTCAAGCGGTAACCAATAAATGCAATGCATGCATTGGAGCAAGAGGTAATCATTTTGAAAAGTGTTTGCAATAAATAAGTGTTAACACATATATAAATGTAAATAAATGAGAGGAAAGACGGAAACTCTTTTGTTTCTTTTTTCTCGATTTTCTCGAAAACTGAGGATAAACGAACAAATCACCTAACGTTTTTTTTTTTCTTAGTTTTTCGGTGCCCAATACGCTCCCGCCCCCGTTTTTTTCAACTGCATTTCTATTTCTTATTTCTCTTTTTACTCACTGCTATATAAATAATATATAAGAATTGCAAATAATATTGATGTGAACATGATATTATAATGAGTACAAGCAATACATAATATAGCAATAGTAGAAGCAAACATACAAATGTATGGGATGTGGCGTATTTACTATTAATAAATTATTATCAATATTAATATTAATATTATTATTAATAAGAAACGTATTATTAAAAATTGTAGTCCACATTCTATACATTATAATTCTTATATATTATTTATGTAGCAGTGAGTAAAAAGAGAAATAAGAAATAGAAATGCAGTTGAAAAAAAAAAATTTCCATTACCGAGTCTTGAACCCACGAACCCTAGAACATGAACCAGCGACGTAACGCCCGCAACTACAACAGTTTCTGTTGTAAGATAGATATAGTCCAAACAACATTCACTAGTATTTGTACGATTCTTATGATGAACCATTTAGAGTAGAGTTTGTAACGTAAACACGTTAGTTTATTGCTCCGTACGAATTAGAAAACGTCAAATTTCTAGGAAAGTACTTTTAAAAAAGACTGTAATAGAGGAATGGAAGAAGATCCCACCTCGAATAACTAATAATTTAGCTAATTTAATGCTTAGAAGAGTTGCAATAACAATTAACGAAGATACTCTTCAATAATGCGATAAAGTTCGGCTCGCGGTGTCGTGCCCGTTCCCTGGCCTCGCAGTGTCAGGTTGCTAGGTCCCTCCGACCCCTCCTACGCGAGGAGATGACACTTTCAAGTGGGTTGTGAGTAGAGCTTCCAGAGACCGAATAAAGACCGAATATTCAAGCGGCTTTCAAGTCTAGTCAAACCGGGTCCCGATTTCCGAGCCGAATCAATCGATTAATTTTAATTATTCGTGTAATGTAAATTCTACATTTCTGCTGTTACACAGCAGAAAAATCTTAAATTAGTCGATATTATATCGTGTTTGGTACCATTTTCATCAGTACAACATCAGGAATTCAGTAGTGCAATTTGTTTCTTTAACTTTTATAAAACACAACAAAAAGTGAACATATCATGACAAACATTACACACTTTATTGCTCGGACCCATTGAGGTTCGTCGTGGGTTAAAGTCGACACACGTACGCTTTGGATGGTTCCACCCTTGGTGTATGGCTTTCAATAAACACCCGATTTCACTTCATATGCATCGTATTATTACGGGAGTAACGCCGATGGATTCCTTACGTTTTCCTGATGAAAACGCTACTAAACACTATGTAAATCAGACTATTTTTAACGAAGATAGGCAAAAAGCGTGCAAATCATTTTTTTCGTATAATTTCCTTCTAAATAATCCGGATTGTATCGTGTCTGGTACCATTTTCATCGGGATAACGTAAGGAATCGATTGGTAATACATCCGTTAAGATCCGATAAGAAATACAGATAAAATAATTTTTTGGAAAAAAAATTTAACCGACTTTAAAAAAGGTACAGTGAAAAGTATGAAATAATTTCTAGTTAATGTATATGAATACCCACTAGCTCTAGATATAATTGCTTAAAAGTATGGGAAAATGCAGTGAAAAGTGTGAAATAATTTCTATTTAAACTGCATTGTTATTCACCATCGTTTGATGAATTTGGTTAAATTATTAAATACATCATATTAAATGCAATGCACCTTTTTGAAGTCGGTTAAATTTTTTTTCCAAAAAATTATTTTATTTCACTCTTTTTAGTGGCAATCTATAACCAATATTTCATGCAATAACAACAGTTATGAGCAATATACAGGATGACCCAAAAACGTTGGAGGTCCTTGAAAAGACTTGTTCCGCGGGGGAGGGGGGGTTGAAACAATTTTTCTTTA